ACCCCTCTAATGAAATAATGGACGCAAGCAAGGATCATCGTGTCCGTTTTATCTTAGGCAAGAGTTGGTGAGGAGCCTCATAATGGACAGAGCAGGCTGTCCCCACCTAAAGCCCCTCATGAAGTTTAGTGTCACTCAGAGTGGGACAGCCAGGTGTTAGGCACCTCCTGATGCGATCGATGCAGCAGGAATGCCGAGGACCACCTACAAAGTATTCTTGCCAAAAGTACTGATCCTGAATCTAATGAAGGCTCTCAATCTTCATTTAATGATCAGTTTATAGATTTGGGGGTTAGAAGAACATGTTAGATGACGCCATGAGAATATAGTCAGCCGAATATAGATTATGGCGTTCTATAAGGACAGAAGACCTTTCTCTTTAACAAGTAAGTAGTGAGAGCTTAAAAAAAGAAAGAAAGAAAGGGGAAAACTGTTCTAGAGTTAAAGAGACTTTGGGGACACATCGACCGAAGCCATGTGTTCCCCTGGGTAGGTCCTAATTTGAAAACAGCAATTGTACAAAAATATTTTGAGGCCATCAAGGAAAACTAAGTATGGAATGGATACCTAGATGATGTTAGGAATTATTTTTCATTTTGTTGGCTGTGATAATGATTGTGGTTCTGATTTTTAAAAGCCCTTATCAGGGGTGCTGAAGTATTTATTAGTGAAATGAATGGTGTCTGGGATTTGCTTTAAAAAAAATAAAGTTGGGCCCAGCGGTTGAGCGTCAACCTGGGATCTAGGCTATCGGGGTTCGATTCCCAGTCAGGGCACATGCCCAGGTTGCGGGTTCGATCAATGACTTTCTCATCATTGATGTTTCTATCTCTCTCTCCCCCTTTCTCCTCTCCTCTCCCTGAAATCAATAAAGATATATTTAAAAAAAATATATAAAGTTGGGCATTGACGAAGCGAGCATGGCAGAAAGTTGGTGTTGAAGCTGGGTAGTGGGCTCTACTAGTCCTTCAACTTTGTGTATGTTTGAAAATTTCATACTAAAGTTAAAAATGCCGAAGTTGGTTTATTGGTGGCATTTAAACACTTTAAATAGGAAAAACAAATATGGAACTCTTTATACTGTTAGAACCCCAGTTTCGGGAAAATTACCTTTTGGCTTATCTGTATATTTGGGCTGGTGAGTTTCTTGGCAAATTGGTGTTTACATTAGCTTCATGTTTTTCCTTCTCCCGGAGTCCCAAGGAGGCCTCAAATAAACCAACAGAAGTCATAATTATAGATACTTAGAGAGTTAACGCCACGGGTAATTGCTAATCAGTAGGCTCTTCATACCAATACGCAGACAGAAGAGGGGGTCTGGGAAAGACTGTCAGTGAATGTAAATAAGTAAGGGGGAGAATAATTTGTGTGCTCGACTGAACTGGGCTGTGGAAGAAGTACATGTAAATAGCACTTTATTTGGCGGGATGGCCCCTTCTGGCTGTTGCAGAATGTTCGGTTCTCCTGCCACCCCTTAAACGAACGCAGCTCTCTAGGGAGTGGGAGGTGAACTTTTCTCTCGCTCTTCCTTTATGGGCTCATTTGACTTCAATGATCATCTTTCTGCAGATAATCACTCAATCCGTATCTTCAGCCCAAATTGCTCTCTCGAGCGCCAGAATCACATCTCCACCCACCTGGCATTGGCTCCCCGCCTCCCACGCCAGCCTCGCCCGAGCCAGGCTCCCCTTGCTGGCTCCGAGCCGTGCACTCCAGCTGTTTTCACATCTGTCAAGATCTTTCTGGGGGAGGCCTTTGCACACGCCGTCCCCCTGCCCGGAGCAGCCCCCCACTCTCTTTTTCACCTGGCTCCTCATCAGGTCTGGGCTCAGACATTACCTCTTCAGAGCCACCTTTCCTGACCTTCTCTGGTCATCCTCAGTCACAGACCTTGCTCATGTCCTTAGTCATCTCATTTTATAATTACTGTGCCTGTCTCCTCTCCTCCACTGTAAGGCCTATGAGCGGGGACCCTTCTGCCTTGGTTAACACTTCATACTCTGCCCTTAGCTTATGCGATCAGAAGATATTTGTTGGATTTATGAATGATTGAATGAGTGAATGAACATGTCAGGGCTTTGAGCTAGACGCGGGAAACAGGCTCACAAAAGATACAGTCTTTTCCTTCAAGCAGCTCATTGTACGTAGTCTGCTAGGGAGGCAGACCGGCAAGCCCAAAATTACAATTTAAGTTTTATGAGAAAAGCACACACAGGGCTCTGGGAAGGGTGGAAAATGGGAAGTCTGGGGGCACGATAGGAGTTAGGGAAAGAAGGGACAGGTATTCCCAGGAGAGGGAACAGCCTTTGGACAGCATGGTGGTCAGAGGAAGCGTTGAGTGGCTGGAGCGTGGGCTGGTTGCGGGGGCGGTGACACCAGCAAGACTGCAGTGACTGGGACTTGAAGGCTCTTGTGTGACAGCTGAGGACTTTGAATTTCTAAAGGCTGTTACAAACCATTGGAGGATCTTAGAACTGGAGTGATAAACCTTGATAAACTTCAGATAGACAGATAGGGGTAGATCAGGTCTGCATGTTAGAAAACTCCAGATGGTTCGGAGGGGCTAGAGGTAGCTTCAGGGTTTAGGGTGGGTCATGGTGGGGAGAGACCAGAGCCCGGACTGATTTCTGTGGCCAGGAACACACTTTTGATCAGGCTAGAGGTAGTTACACCCTTTCCCAACACAGCTTTCCTTGACTTTAGAGCTCAGGGGTCAGGATGCATGGGAGGTGGTGTCACACAGCTCGAATGGCACCGTGCACAAGTGGAGAGTGTCATGTTGGAGGTGCTCAGCTCTTGCTGGGCTGCCTGCCACCCTTTGTGCCCGGGTGTATGACATCACTCAAGAAGCACCGAAGCAACTTCGTATTTGTCATGTGAAGGAATGTTTATGGATGCTCTGGGCTCTCCTGGTACTTGAACCGAATTCAGAGTGAGTACGGAAGCAGGGTCGGTGTCCAGTGTCTCAGACCCCTGTGCCTCCTGCACCCAGAAAGCCCGTTTCCTCATGGGGGCTGAGTGAGGCCATGTTCTGAGCAAGTAATGACAAGGGCCCAAACCAAGGAGTGGTGATAAGGGAAGAGATTTGGGAGTTAACTAGAAGAGCTGACTGTGAGAATGAGTTATTAACTGGCATATGAGGGAGGATCAGGGCTTTTTTAAAGGGCTGGTTAGATACTTAAGTGTAGTTCTCTATAGTGGGTAGTTGAATCTATGACTCAGAACCACCTCGGAGCCCTGGCCAGTGTGGCTCAGTTGGTTGGGCATTTTCCTGTGCACCAAAAGGTTGCTGATTTGGTTCCTGGTCAGAGCACGTGCCCGGTTGCAGGCTTGATCCCCTGGGGGGTCAGAGGGTGGTGTGCAGGAGGCAGCCGATCAGTGTTTTTCTCTCTCTCTCCCTCTCCCTTCCTCTGTCTCTCAAAATCAATAAAAAAATAATCACCTTGGACTTCTTCTCTCTTGGCCCATCCGTCCCATCAGCTAAGTCTTACCATCTGTTTGACCTTTGTGTGGTCTCTTTTACTTAAGAACAACTTTTCCGTTCCTGTCTGATCATTCCCTCCATGCCCCTGGCCCCTCCACCGTGTACCTGAGCGTAAGGTCGGTCACCGTTTTGTGCTTCACTGCCCCAGGCCGGTTCTTCCGCAGCATAACTTTGACAAAAAGATCACTTTGCTCAAAATATCGGGTGTCTCCCTGTTGTCTACCGACGTTCTCACACTCCTCGGCCAGCTCTCCTACTGGTATTCTCCGCAACCCATGGAGCCACTGCTGTTTTGTTACACAGACACATCCCGCATTGTCTAGACCTGGAGCCTTTGTCCACGCGGCCGCTTCTGGCCGGGATGCCCCCTCCTCTCCCCCCTCTTCTCCCTTTTAAGTGTTCTGCTCCCTTGATATAAAATAAAAGCTTATGTTGGAGCTGAATTAAGGGACCGAACCTGTAGCAGAAGCTCTGTACTGTGTGTTGGAGTTAGACCCACCCTCTGAGACAACGATGGCCCTCGGTCGCTGTGTCCTGGGCTCGGGCCCGTGTGGAGGCTGGTGGCTGCTGGCTCCGGGGCCTGGGGGGAAAGTGCCTCCTCATGCTTCGTCACAGGATGTCGTGTGCCATTCCAGCCCCGGGAGTAATCGGAGACAGGAGATTATCTCGAAGCCGGTGGTGTCCTTTTCCCTGTTATGGGACTGTGTTTTGAATTAAATTATTTTAGGAACAGATGGCTGCCTGGGAATTTTTTCTCCTTTGTTCCCAGTGAATCGAGTATTTAGTTGAGTTTGTTTTGGTTACGCGGGGTGCTGATGGGCTTGCTCTGCAGGTTGGTAAAGAGGCTCGCGTTTTCCTCGGGAAAGAATGAAACAGAACAAAGTGAAGCTCAACATCTTTTGACAAGTGCTCTGTGCCACGCTTTGAATTAAACCGACATTTTAATATTCTTCTCTCCTTAAATGAGAAAGTCATGCGAAGAAACAGGGAGTCCCTAAACTCTACCACGAAGCCTGCACTGATGCTTTAACTAACAGTATGCGTTTTTCGAAGGCTTCGTGGTACCAATATTTCAGTGTTTTTTGATTGCAGTTTTTTTCCCCCTGAAGTTACTCATTGGTTCTCTTCATGTTTCAGTGAAGTCACTAGTTATCTGTGTCCCCATCTCTAGAGGAGGAAAGGAAAGGAAAGGTGTGACTAGTTATAAGGGATTTCTCCTGGGGAACTGAGCAAGTCTGAGATAGAACAGGACCCAGTTCTTCTGTTCTCTCTGGAATGTTCTGGAACTTTGGCCCTGTTGCTGAAGAGTTGTACATTTTATTAGCTAACACTGAAGCTCCCCACTACTGATGCAGGGGCCATTTGTCATTTGGGGGATTACCTTCCCCCTTTCTGGGGAAGCCTTCATTGTGTGAGGGTCAGAGGGCTGCAGGGTTGACCAGGTAATGTGGCATATGACCTACGTGTGATCAGGGGACACTCGCAGTTGGACTTTGAATTTTGGGGGAGTGCCACCATGAAGCAGGGGAGTGAAGGGTCCATTGGAGCTGTGCCAGTGGCAGCCCCAGCTTGGTGTCTGGTGGACACTCCCAGTAGTGACATCCCCGAGGGCTTCTCTGTGGCCTTGGCTCTCAATAGTGTTCTGAACCTGAGCTGCCCTATCCATTCCGTGGACCCTCTGGTATCCTTCCATCAAACCCCACTTCTGCTTATGTAGCCAGAGTTGTTTCCATTGCAAACCACAGAGCACTGATGGAGAAAACCTTAGAACACTAGCATAGGGTCATATTTCTTGCCTATCCATAGAAAGTCAACACTTTAACACCCATTCTTCCGGTGGTAATTCTCAGGAACTCTGTATCTTTTTAAAAAAATATGTCTGTATTGATTTCAGAGAGAGAGGAAGGGAGAGGGAGAGATAGAAACATCAATGATGAGAAGGTCATTGATCGGCTGCCTCCTGCAAGTCCCCCACTGGGGATTGAGCCCATAACCCGGGCATGTGCCCTGATTGGGAATTGAACTGTGATCTGCCGGATCCTAGGTCGAAGCTCAACCGCTGAGTCACGCTGGCCTGCCTTTTTAAAAAAAATCCTCACCCAAGGATATGTTTTTATTGATTTTTTTGGGGCGGGGGGAAACATCGATGTGAGAGAGAAACATAGATCAGTTGCCTCCCAGATGCACCCTGACCAGGGATTGAACCCACATCCTGCGTTTGTGCCCTGACCAGGAATTGAACCCGAGACCTTCCATTGTATGAGAAGACGCTCCAACCAACTGAGCCACATGGTCCAAAGCAGGAACCCTATACCTTATTAGCAGAAGAGGGAACTGAGACCCATGAGTGTGAAATGAGTTACACAAGGTTGGCAGTTAGGTAACTTGGGGTGGACCAGGTGAGACCTGAGGCCTGCAGGTATTGTTTCTGATCATCTCTGTCCACAGTGCCTCTTGTTGGAATCAGAAAAGACGGACAGATGTCCTCTTAGTCACTAGGGCTGTCATAAATGTACCACAGACTGTGTGGCTTCAACAACAGAAATTTATTTTCTCATAGTTCTGGAGGCTGGAAGTACAAGATTAAGATGCCTGTGGGACTGGCTTCTGGTGAGGCCTCTCTCTGCTTCCAGGTGGTGCCTTCTTGCTGTGTTCTTCCAGGCCCTTTTCTCTGGCAGAGTGACCAAGAGAGCGGACTCTGGTGTCTTTCTCTCTCTCTTCTTCTGAGGATGCCAGTTCATTGGATCAGAGCCCACCCTCAAGGAGCTCATGTAATATTAATTACCTCCTAAAGGGCCCTTTCTCCAAATACAGTCACATGGGGGGTGGTTAGACCTTCAACACACAAGTCTGGAGGGGACACACAATTCATTCCATACCAGATGTGGAATATGGCAGTCCAGACATTTTAATATTGTCTGTGACTTAAAAGTTGAGAAACAAAGGATGCCAAAGGGAGATTTCTAAGAGAAATCAATACATAGTATTGATATCTTAAAATACTGGGATTGGCAGTCAGTTACTTGTCATTCGGCCTGAGGTTGATACTTTTCTGTGCAAAGAGCTCACTAGTGATGGTCCTTTAGGTAAGTCCCCAGAGCCAGTTGTAGCCTGAAGTGTTGATTTGGGTGCCAGTTTTTCCTCACATGGGCCGTGTGGAGCCTGCTTTCTGGTTTCAGGCTGCAGTTCCCGTGGTAGAGCCTGGCCTTCTGATTTCATGTCTGGAGGCAGCCTCCTCCCCCTGCTCTCCATGTGTACTTCACACGCCCTCCGCTGTCCTGGTGCACACTGCCCCCGCCGACAGAACTCCCTTTTCACTAGCAAATCTGTGCAGTTGACCACTTTCTGCTCTCACCCTCTCAGTCTCTCCGTCTCTCCTCCAGCTGAGGATCAAAGGCCAGTTCCCCTCTGGATTCCGTTTCTTCTCAGCCAACTGGGCTCATCACTTCTCCTTCACATCTTCTGTTCCATCAGCATTGCTCTAGTCCAGCACTTTTCAAAGAAAGGTTCCTGTACTTGCATTGAAATTATCGTTGGCGCTGGTTCAAAGCATAGATTCCAAGACAACAAGAACAGGCGTAAACGCAAACATACCCACCGATTCCTGAGCCCCAGGCCCAGCCACCCGGATGAGCTGAGTTATTTTAGGTTTTATTTTGAAAGAATTTTAGACATATAGTAAAGTTGCAGAGCTATTACAGAGTTCGAATATACCATTTGCTCAGCTTTCCTTAATATTAACTATATAATCATAGGAGAGTCACCAGAACTCAGAATTTAACATTGGTACAGTTCTGTTAACTAGACTACAGACTTTATAGGATTTCACTGGTATCCACACTTTTTCTGTTCTAGAATCCAGTCCAGATTCCCACATCACATTTGGTTGTCACATCTCCTTAGTCTTCATAGTCTGTGATAGTCTTTTATGACCTTGAGATCTTTGAAGAGCCAAGAGACTGTCTCTGGGGTTGTCTGATGTTTTCCCTTGATTACATTGATGTTTTGTGTGTTTTTTTTTAGGTTTTTTTTTAGAAGCCTGTATCTTTAATGAGCTCCTTGGTGATTCTTATCTGTTGTCTGAGAACCAAACAACCTTTCTTGGACCCTTCCAGTTGCCTTCTTATCCCTCCCTTCACGACACAGCTAAACCTCTCCAAAGAGTTGTCTGTATATAATCCCCACTTTGTCACCTGTCATTCACTCTTCAACCCATGGCAACCTGGCTTCTGCCAACAGAAGGCCAAAGATATCTGCTGTCACATCTAGGAGTTGTTTCTCACCCATCCTTTTCTTGACCTCTCAGGGTCATTCCACCCACACAGGTGAGTCCTGTGTGAATCCTAAACATCTTTGCTGTTTTCTTGTCATCTCACATTCCTGGTTTTCCCCTGCTTCTTGGACCTTCTCCTCTTTTCCAGGTTTACTTATCTCCAGGCTCATATATCTGCTTGCAAACTTGATATCTCCATGTGGATTTTTCTAAAACAAAATCTCAGGCTAGTGCTTCTCAAACTTTAACAGGCATATGAATCTCCTGGGATCTTGATAAAAGCAGTTTCAAATACAGTAGGGGTCAATGGGCCCAAGAGGCTGCATTTCTGAGAAACTCCCAGGTGCTGCTGCTGGTCTATGGGCCACACTCAGAGTGACAAAGTTCTAAAAAACCCCACTCTAATCTAAACCATCTCAAGCTTCAATTACTGTGACCATATAACTGATCTCTCCACATCTCCTCTGGCCCCCATTAACCTGTTCTCTGCACTGCAGCAGGAGGTGATACCGTTGTGATTAGCTAGTTATTAATAACAGGAAAGGAGCAAAGAGGGAAGCCAGACATTATAGGCAAGTCGTTTGGGCAGCTTCACCAGGAAGCTACAATTTCACACTCCTCAGGGAACAGTGGCCTATTCCCTGCAATACATCAGGAGGAGGGATCCAACAAAGGGAAGATATACATATACCCAGTAAAGGTGGGGGGACTAGGGAAGGTACTTGCCTGTCAAACAAACCTGGGGACAGACGATGGTTGGCCAGAATGGGCGTGGCCACTGCAAGAACACAAAAATTTGGGACTACATAATACCCTGAAAAAGGAATTCGCTGTCTTCTTGTTCTGTTCCCATGCATGCATGAATATCTGCATACATGCTTCACACATATTGCACACACACGTATATGCAGACAAATACACATATACAAAAACACATACTTATAAACTGGATGATGGGAATTCAGGTGTTTTTTATATTATTATTTATATACCTGGTAAATATAATTTTCTTTTTTAATTTTATCCCTCCTATACCGTCTTCCACCTTCCCTATCCCCCTCCCCCTTTGGTACTCACCATGGTGTTGTCTGTGTCTATGAGTTTTTTCCTTAATCCCTTCACCTTTTTCACCCAGCCCCCAATTCCACTCCCCTCTGACAGCTATCTGTAGGTTCTCTCTAATTTTATAGTTTTCTTATCTATTTGATATTTGATAATAAAACCAGTTGGAAGGAAGAGTAACCTGGTAGAAGGTATTAGTTAGTGCACAGCTGGGGTGGGAGAAAGAGAGGGAAGAAAGACACTATTTTCTAAACCAGGAAGAAAAATGAAGAAATGGGGAAGGGTGGTTTTGATAATGGCAGTCACTGAAGTCCCCTCTTAGGACAACCTGAGAACTAGAAGCAGAAGGAAAGTTCCTAAAGAGTTGCCAAAGCGGGTAATGGTTGAATGATCTGACCAGTGGCCTTGTGTTTCTAAACTCGTAGGAACTCTAAGGGCCCTTGTTTTGTGGTAGGTTCACTATCCACAGAGAGTGGAGATGACTCATCACATTTTGAAAACTCCACAATTTAGCAAAGAAGCAAAAATAATGGTTTTGTTTGAACTAAAGCTCTTTAGAGATTTTTGATTCCGCTGTCCCTTGGGTGTTGCAGGCCAGCCCTCAGAGGGTGTTTTGTTCTCCGAGTGCCCATGTCTGCAGCTGCGAGCTGTCCCCAGGTGGACGGTGGGGCCTCACAGCTCAGAGGTTTCAGTGACAGAACTGAGCATGTGCTCTCAGCCACATTATAATGAACATAACATGTTTCAATGTAATTTCTTCACTAGCAGGTTTAATGAAATGGACTAATTTGACAACATGGGGTGGTGTGAAGTGTGTTCAACCTCTGAGTACTTATGAACCTGCCTTTGTAGGCTGGCTCTGCTCAAGTGCTATTTTAAGCAAGTCTGCTTAAACTCTTTGAGCCTCTTTTGCAATGGGAGGGGATTGGCCACAGTCTTAAAGGATTCATTCAGCTTGAGAAGTCCATGATTCCCTGATTATTATATTTAGGGGAGATTTTTAAATAGGAAAATATGACAAAGTTCAATAAAACACCAAATTATCTTGCATGTGTAACACCAAGAAGCTCCTAGGGACAGGCATCTCTCTTTTTATAAGTTTTAGAAAAGCTTTATTATATATTACATAATAAAGCTTATATATAATAAAGCTTTATTTTTATTAATTTTAGAGAGAGAGAGAAACATCGATTTGTTGTTCCACTTATTTATGCATTCATTGGTTGATTCTTGTATGTGCCCTGACCAGGGAGCGAACCCGCAACCTTGGTGGTATCTGGATGATGCTCCAACCAACCGACCTACCTGGCCAAGGCCTATCGTAAAGCTTTTTAAAGACTTTTAAAAAGTGATATTATATATTACAAAGCTTTTAAAAAATGCTTTATATGTTTAAAATTAAAAAAAATTTAGTTTTTAAATTACAGCTGCCATTCAATATTATCTATATTTTAAAAATGATTTTTAAGAGCAGTTTTAGGTTCACAGCAAAATTGAGGGGGAGGTGCAGAGATTTCCCATGTGCCCCCTGCCCCCACACATGCTCGGCCTCCTCCGTGATTACCATCCCCCATCAGAGTGCTATGAACCCACATTGACACAGCACTGTCATCCAAAGTCCCTAGTTTACCTTAGCTTGGAGTTCACTCTGAGTGTTGTGCATTCTGTGGGTTTGCCTTGTGAGTTTCTTTTTTTTAAAAATATGTCTTTACTGATTTCAGAGAGAGGCAGGGAGAGGGAGAGATAGAAACATCAATGATGAGAGAGAAACATCATTGATCGGCTGCCTCCTGCCTGCCCCCGACTGGGGATGGAGCCAGCAAGCTGGGCATGAGCCCTGACCGGGAATCGAACCGCGATCTCCTGGATCCTAGGTCGATGCTCAGCCACTGAGTCATGCCCTGCTGGGCTGCCTTGTGAATGTCAGTCACTGTTCCTCAGCCTGGCAGGAGGGCACTTCCTGCTCAGTTGCTGTGAAACGGTGTGGCAGGCACCTAACCCAGGGCGAGGTGTAAGGTAGGCACCCAGAAAGCATGTGTTGTGGTCTCCACGGGAGAAGCCTCAGCACTTGCCATTCAGAGTGTGCTTGCAGACCTGCCCACCCTGGGAACAGCATAAAAGCTCAGCGCCCACCCCCGCCCCGATGGACACCACCTGCATTTAAACAAGGTCCCCCGTGTCACTTGTGTGCACGCAAAATCTGAGGAGCACCGGGATCGCCCAACACTGTTCCTTTCTTGCTGTCATCACAGAGGAAACCTTTTGTGTACTAACGCTTTAGAGCTTGAAAATTGATCTCCAGGGCTTGAAATTGGAGTCCCCGAAGCCTTTTCTGCTGGGAGAGGGACTCACCTGGGCTTTCTAGCCTCTTCCTGAATTAATTCCAGAAGTAATTCCCCATAGCATTTCAGCTGCTGTCTCTCTCCTGGGGCTTGGCCAAGAAAAAAAAAGCATCACAGCTTGGCACACCTCACTTTCTTAATTGGAAGTTTCAGAATTTTTCATCCCTTTAACCACTTTGTCTTCCCTGTTCCCTGTCCTTTGAAGACTGCGTTTATTGAATTCTAATTTACATCAGATACTTGGGTTTATAAATTAGCCACTAAATGGTGCTTTTCTTTGTTATTTTATCTCTTGCAGTCTTCCGGTGCACTTATAAATATGTTTCTGATTCATTTAAAAAGAAATCTCCCTCCCTGTTCAGATGTTATATAACAAAATAAATTATGTCATAGCAGTTTTAAAACAGACACATAAATGATTTATCCTTAGGAAAAGGTTCACATCTGTCTGCTACGTAGGTGGACAGAATGTTGATTTAATGACCTCTTAAATGTATAACTTCAGCCTTTACCGTAGAAAAGAACAGCTGCTACTCTGCCTGGTGTAATCAGTATCATGTTTGCTCTTTTGCATGCTTGGAATGCGACAGGTAAATGCAAAAAGCACATAGGCAAGAAATCCTAGAGTCAGGTTGTATAGAAGACAGCAAATGCTGAGTAAGATTGCTATGAAACAACTTAAAATCTCTAAGAAATGGTTTTCTTTTTCTTTTATTGTTCATTTTTAAAAGACATTACATAGAAAGGAATGTGACCCTTCAAAGTAAGCAGCTTTTTTCTGGTGTAAGTTTGTCATTTTCAGATGCTAATGGAACCAACGAGAAATATTTTACCTATATCAACATATGGCTAAATATCATTTACAAAAATTTTAGTTTATATACACAAACATCTATTCACAGAATTTGTCTTCACTCTTGATTTCCACCTCTGCTAGAGTCACAAATACCTCTGGATGCCCCCTTTCAGCTTCTTTATGATTGTAATACTCTATTTTAATTCTGTATTATACCTTTTGTAACCTCACGGATTACACAGTATTATTTGTTCATTTATACCATCAGAATTTGTTTAGATTTAACCATACTACCTTTATCATTTATTTATTCTCTGTTCCCTCTTTTCAGGTCTTCCTTCTGGGATAATTACCTTTCCTCTTGAAGTATAGCAGGTCCTCACATAACATTGTTTTGATCCATGTCATTTAGTTATAATATTGGTGAGATGCTGTAGGAATTTAACTCTTGTTTATAACTTTTAGCCTATGGTAAAACTGATACATTGTTTTCCTTGAAGCTGCAGAACCTATCAGTGATGTTGAGAATTATTCTTGTTTAGAGAGACTTCTCTACTGAGTTTTCTGTTGGTATGACCATTTTTTGCTGATCTGAAAATGTCCTTATTTTAACTAAGAGAGTAATGCTGTTTATTCAAATCTAAGATGTCAGGTATTTTGTACTTAGCATTTTAAAGTTTATTTCAATGTCACTTGGCTCCTAGTTCTGTGAAGTAGGTATCTGATGGTGTAATTGCCATTTCTGTTCTCTGACTGCATTTATGATTTCTTTTTGTCTTTGGTAGTCTGTGGTATGATCACGTGTGTAGGTATAGGTTTTTAAAACATTCACCTTGCATGGGATTTCTTGGTCTTCCTGAATGGAAAGATTCATGTATCTTAATTAATTTTGGACAATTCTTAGTGCTATCTTTGAATATTGTCTCTACCCAGTTCCCTCTGTCACTTCTTTTTAAAACTTTGATCAAATGTATGTTGGACTATTTCATTCTATCATTCATGTCTCTTAATGTCTCTTTTTTTATATTTCTCAGTCTTTTGTTTCTCTGTGCTTTGTTCTTAGTAATTTTTAGATCTATCCTCCAGTTCACTAAATTTCTCTTCAGCTGTGTCTAAATTGATGTTTATAGTTTATTATATATTGTATATCGAGTTTTAAAATTATTATATATTTTTATATAATATATATAAATTATATAAATTATTATATATTTTTTTCTTTCTAAATGTTCTTTGTCCCCCCCTCCCCCAATTCTTTTTGGCTACTTTTCATAGTCTCTTGCTCCTTACTCATGTTTCCTATCCCATCTTTATTCTTTTAAATGTATTAAGATACTTTTAAAAATATTTCATAATTCCAGTATCTGAAGTCTTTACAGATTTGATACTATTTGTGTGTTTTTTGTTTTTGTTTTTCCTCTTTTGGGTGGTTTCTTGACTTTTTTCCCATAGTTCCTTATTTCCTCATGTGTTTTGTTAATTTTAAATTTTGCAATAATTTTTTGGAGTTCTAGCTGCAGAATACTTTGATGCTTAGTTTGAGAGTGTGTTCTTCTGGAGATGATTTATGTTAGCTCTGATAGGTGTTGGAGACCTGGTCCACTTTCAATTATGATTCTCAGCACATACTTTTTTGAACCATACAAATAGTATAAGTTCCAAACTTGGGGAGACTTTTTATAAAATATTTGCACAAAGTCAGAGTTGTAACAGATACTTTTTCTTGCCGTCCTTTGAGAGATGGATCATTTTCTTCCTAAGTCATGCTTTCCCTGAGACTCTGGCACTTCCTGGGTCTCTACTTTTTGGAGATGGTCTTCAGTTAGGTTCTTCACTTGTCCAGAACCAACGTTTGTCCCTCGTTCTCCCACGGCCTAAGCCAGCGATTTTCAACTGGTGTGCCACAAGACTTTTTAAAACATGCAGTACTTGACTTTTTAGTTTGGGGCACTGACCTCTTTTCCCTTAGATTGTCAAATAAAAAAATGACAGCAGCCAACACAACAATAGCTGTCCGATGTGAATGAATCAAAATTATACCTAATTTTTGGTCAGATCTGCAAAATATATATATTTTTTGATGTGCCGCAGAATTTTAGTAATTAGTTTATGTGTGCCATGAGATGAGAAAAGTTGACAATCGATGGCCTAAGCATTAGGCTGCGTGGTCTAGTGTCCTTCTAGGCTATCTGGTGACTTCAGCATTTGATGACCTCCAATGTCCAGCTCCTGCTTTGCTCCTATGCTCGACACATGTCCCCCTATTGTCTTGCAGGCTCACTCAGTCACGTAAGAGGATGTTTTTGGAGTTTTGTTAAGCATAATTGTTACTAAGTTGGGAAGGCTTTGAGTTTTCTAGCCTGCCATATTGCCAGGAATAACATAAAGTAGAAATAATTTACTTTTGAAAAATAAAAGGAGTGAATTCAAGATGATCCCTATACTAATTCACACACTCGTGTTCTGTTAGACTGCCTGGGTAAGTGAGAGGTGGATGTTATGAGTCATGATAGCTGCTCAGTCCCCAGCCTGTGCTGCAGTGGACAGTACCCTGGGCCTTTACCAGGGTTCTCGGCCACCACGTGTCCTGCTTCTCTATGCGTTGTATCTGGATCAGAGGTGGAGACGCCTAAACCACTTATATGATCATGAGAGCTGTCACAAGGACAGAGAATGCAAAATTTTGAGAGGATGAGAGGATCCTTTTGGTACATGTCAGAACTTGGTCCTAAGACACCACTCACTCATTCATTTAACAGATGCTTATTGGCTCTTACTTTATGTAAGGGAAACAGATCAACCGTCCCTCATGAAGCTCGCCGTGTAATGGGCAGACAGTTGATTTCAGTGGGGCATGATAAAAGGATATGACAGTAGAAGCCGGGGAGAGGTAGTAACCCAGCTTGAGGAGGGAGGTGGTATCTGTGCTGCATCTGCAGGACCAGTAGTCATCCATCATCCAGGTGTAGAGCTAGGGAAGAGCATTGCAGGCAGAGGGACCAGAATGTGCAAAGTACTGAGCCAGAGAGAATTTGGGTTCAGGGAGTTGCAGATAGCTCCTTTGGCCAGAGCATAGTCAGGAAGTTGTGAGACTGAAGCAGTGAGCCGTGAGAGCTGAGCCTGGAGGTAGCCGAGGCCTGAATGTGGAAGGCCGTCTAACTAGGAAACTGTTGAACTCTCTTACCTGGGAGTGAGTGACGCTGTCGGAGTTGTCATGTTCATTTATCTCAAGAGCCAGCTCTATGGAAGAGAAAGAACATGGGCTTGGGAGTTCAGGTTTATATTCAGATTCCAGCTCCACCTCTGTCTGGGTGAGCATGTAATTGATTTTAGTTTACCTTCTCTGAACCTCTCTTTTTCCTGTGATAAATGAGAGAGAATGGACTAGACAGTTTCCCAAGGCCACCTCCGTTCTGTTGGTGACGTTAGAAAGCAAGAGAAAAAAATGCCGTTGTGGCCTGGCCGGTGTTGCTCAGTTGGTTGAGCGCCATCCCATGCATCAGGAGGTTGCCGGTTCGATTCCCAGTCGGGGCACATGCCCCAGTTTTGGGCTCAATCCCCAGTAGGGGGCTTGCAGGAGGCAGCCGATTGATGATTCTGTCTCATCGTTGATGTTTCTATCTTTCTCTCTTTGAAATCAATAAAGACATTTAAAAAAATGCCATTGTGTACATACACACAAGCTTAAGTAAGGCCGGAGCTCACGTGTGTGACTGTTTGCAGTTGTACCCTGACAGTAGTGCTGGCAATTTGTGGCTTCCAATGAGCTGTTTGGCGTCTGTGAATAGTAGATATTCTCAGTGAGTGGGTATTGGTTGAAAGAGTATACGTTTTTATATCCAAATCCAGAGGTGAGCAGTGTGACTTGCGTGGCCTCTCCACTGACCCAGCTGTTGTTTGCCTTGTAGGTGAGCTTTCTCCGGACCAGCACAACCTTTCCTCGCCCTCCGTGGAGCTCGCACTGAAGGAGAGCACCGTGCACAGCACTGCACACGTGGCCTTACCAGAGACTGCCCCAGGGTCCCAGCAGGGCAGTTCTCTCCGCCTCCTGTCACCTCCATCCGCCGCTACTTTTGTTACAGCCTTTTTTAGCCCAGGAGACCTGACCCAAAGCACAACAGATCACAGCGTCTTTGTGGCAAATTCCGTGGCCGCGACGAGCAACGAGGTGGTCATCGATGACGATGAAATGGATAACTTTTTGCCAGAAGCTCAGTGGACCTCCTCCCGCGTGGTTTCTCCCTTACAGTACGTCACAGCCAGCCCACCAGGGTTCCCCGAGGAAACACTGGACTCCGCGCCGACGCCATCCTTGCCCAGTGTTTCTCCACGAGATGAAGCAGTGACATCCGCCTGGCCAGGCACAGCACAACAACCGACAGCGTGTGCCGAGTTCCCCGGGCGCTGCAGTGCTTTTCGGTCGACTCTTCGCACTTCCGAGGGCATGATTCCAACCCCTAGTAGGAATCTGGTGCTTTATCCTACTGACCCTTATGGGCGCTCATCGAGCAGGACTTTGCTGGAGGTCGTGGCTTCAGGAGCAGGGGGCATAGAAACCCTCCTCTTTAGCTCGACATCTTCAGTGCCTGAGCCGTTAGGCGATCGCGTTACCCAACAGCCATTCCCCACCTCGGCGGAGGTCTCAGTGCCTCCAAAGGATGTTCTGGTCCCAGGTACAGGCGGATACCCCGATGTGACCACTGTGTGGAGTCGGAGCCTAAAAGAAACCATGTCTCCAAGCACATCTCCTGCTGCAGCTGCATCACAGGCGGCCCTTGCTTTCAGGAGCAGCAGCCTCAGCGTAAATCCAGCTCTGTTTTCAACCCCTCTTGCGTTTGTGTCCTTTCCTGTTCCATCGGCCGACGTTTCCTATGACCCCGTGTTTCCCGGCAGCTCCAGGGAAGCGTCCCAATTGCCTGGCAGTTCAGTGGCCCCAAGTCATGCGGATGACACTCCCGTCTGGAGCCCAGCGCCTCCGCTCCGACCGTACACGTGGTGCGTGTCCTGCACCGCGGTGTCACCGCGGCACGGGCCGTCCACCAGCCTCATGGAGAAAGACATGGGATCGGGCGACGGGGCCGAGACCATGACCCTATCGGAAGCAAGCAGCATCTCTCCTCCCCCGAGCAGCGTAGTCGCCGACTTCTCTGAATTTGAGGAAGATCCTCAAGAATATAACCGACTTTTCCCCTCAAGACCAATGGTTCCGCTATCTTCTCGGTCCGTGGGAACCTCAGAAACAAGCACGGGCCTTGCAGCTGCGGTGGACGTGAGTAGCGCCGTGATCACACACGCGTATCCTTCCCACGGCCGCCCCTCCCTGCCCCTGTCACTCGATACTGCGTCCTCCGGCTCCTTCTCTGCCATTGAAACTCAAGCAATGCCGTCCAGTGTGACAGCTGGGTTCCCCTCGGCCAGCCCCGGGGTCCTCCTCGACTCATCTTTCTCCGTCTCAGCAAATGGAAACTCGCCGTCGCTGGCTACCAGGGACCCAACTCTTTCCCCATCTTACACTTTGGAGCCTTCGGTGGAGGCCTCACTTTTTCCTGACCGAGAGCCTTCCAGCTGTTCCCAGCATGAAACCAGAAGCCACTGGGAGTTTGCTTCCAGCTTCTTCTCAACTCCCCCGCTGGAGGCCGGCCGCTCGGCCCTGTCACCTTCAGAAGCACTTGCGGTCCCACCTCTCACGTCGAGCGATTTGTCAGCGTCCATTTCTCAGGCCTCTTCCACCCTGGTCGAGACACTTACGTTGTCCGACTCTCTCCATCTGCAGCCACCTTGGCTCTCTGTCCCTAATTCCACAAACCTTGACTTTTCTCAGCTCTGGCCCAGCTCAGACCTCCTTTTAAATGCATCCACTTTTCTGCCTAGTTACTCAGAAATGCCACCTCTCTCAGGCTTCTCCTCCGAGTCTCCCAAGCTCTCTGGAGCATCAGCAGTTTCGCTGACAGATTCCGAAGCTCACTTTACCTCAGCTCTCTCGGAAACTACCTCCTCCTTTGAGTCTCCGCTCACGTCCTACGAATCTGCAGTCGCCACGCCGGTGCCCTCCGGGTCGGAGCCCCTCCTGGACGTTTTCACCGCTGGCACTCACTCGACGTCACTCTCGACTGCCTTTCACACGACACCCACTCTGACGGAATCATCTCTCTTTTCAACTCCAGCGTCTTCCGATGGCGATATCAGTGCTCTGGGTGATCACACGTCTGTCTTACCCTCTCTCTCCAAAGTCGTTCCTACCACCGCAGTATTGGTCACCGCCGTGTCCCTGCCGCCAGCATCCTCATTTGTTTCTGAAGTGGTCCCCTCACCGGTCCCCTCACTGTCTGTGGGCCCATCTCTCCCACGCACAGAGTCGCCGATGAGCACCTCCAGGGAGCTGAGCGCGCCTCGTACCAGTGCCGCCCCCGACCATGCTGCGGACACCGTGCCGAACAGCGTACCCCAGAGTCAGAATCCCCCCGAGAGCAGCACGGCTCTTCCCTCGGCACCCCTTCATCCGGGGCCCACCTCCGCTCCCGAAGCCGTGGTCACTACTCCGGCAGTGGTGGCCACCAGGCCGCCGTATGTGTGCGACATTACAGTTCCTGATGCCTATTTGATCACAACTGGTAAGGCCCTCCTTCGTCGTCTCTCTCGGTTGGGGTGACCTTTCTAAGGTGCTGTTTGAAATGCTTGTGTGATGTGCGGCATCGTGGCAAAGAGTGGAGAGAGGCTTGAGGCCCGGAGAGCTCCTGGGTTTGCGATCCTCACTCCTTTGCTGGCCACCTGTGAGCCCTTCAGACAGTCATTCGCCCTCGCTGAGCCTCCGTTTCCCCCACTTTAAACAAGAACGATACCAGCACCCACTTCATTGGGTTATTGTAAAGATTTAAATGTGCATTAATGCATATAAAATACTCAACCCAGTACCTGGCATGTAAGGAGCACCCCCAAAATACTGCGTAGTAGTTAGTGGTAGCAATAAGAATAAATAGAAGATTTAAACCTTAGAAGCCTTTGCTAGGATGTGTCTTTGGATCTCCCCACCCAGTGGGTGCTTAGGAGACACGGTTGAAACAAACCTGAGTGACTGGCGGACAAGTGGCACCTTCCCTTGCCTGTCCCATGAGACCGGAGGGCCGATCACGCAGGCCAGCCGTTCTCCGTGGGAGATGACAGGCGTGCGTGAAGGCCGGGACCTGCGCCCATGTACTTACAGCACAGTGTTGATGAGCGGCTGGCTCTGGGGTTGATTCTGGTGGGGATGAGGGGTGGAGGTGGACAGGGGAAGAAGCTGGGCAGAGCAGGAGTGGCGTGGACGAGGGAGGGAGGAACAGGGAAGGTGGAGGTGGGAAGGAGAAGGAGGGTGCTTGGGCTTTGTCCTCCGTGCCGAGTGACGAGGGACGTGAGCCGTGTTTCCTCCGCCCGCCACGGGGCTGCTGCCGCCTCCGAGAGGGCTGGGAGCAGCTGAAGCCTTCGCTCTCCTCACCGTGCCCGCCCCAAATGCGACAGCCATTTGTTAACCCAGGTGACAAGGAGCTGTGGCGCTCGCTCGGAGTGTGCGTGGAGGGCCTTTAGAAGCTCTCCAGGATGTAGAGATGAATGACGTGGCCCTGTCCCTCCGTCCCTCGGCCTCTCGAGGCTCTTAGAGTCTAGTAGGGCTGACGCTGAGCCTTGTAGCTGCACCGAGAATGGTTGAAGCAGAGCTCGCTGAGTGACTATTTGGGATGAATCGGAGGTGACATTAGAGGTTGAGTGAAAGGCTGTCATCCGAAGATGGAAGCAAGTGTCCTCCAGGTTGAGGGTGTGCGCACAGGTGGGGCGGTCGGACAGCCCCGGGACATTCAGCTTGGCTGGTCATTGATTAGCTGAATTGTAATGGGAGGAGGTAATTATGCAGGAAAGGAGGTTGGGACCAAGTGGTGAACTTCATCTGGGATTCCAGCAGTCCAGCGGGAACAGAAAAGAGTTTCTAATGGACAAGATACTTTTCTTTCTTCCTACACAGTTGTTACACAATAGTTACAAAGTGGTCAGTTACAAGAAGCTTATTAAAAGAACTACTGAAAGCTTCTTTATCTCTGGGATCCTATGACATTTATGATACTGACGGTTCTAATGTGTCTTTTAGAGTTTATTAGTCTACATATAATTAGAAACCATTTTAGAAGTATCTCTAAGAATATCAACCATAGGTAGCATAGATTAGCTTTCATGTATGACATACATTTAATGAGTTTGATATCCTTTGTTAGGGATCCATGTATTTTTCATAGCGTTTTGGGGTAGAATTCACCCATTGTAAATGTACACGTGAACAGTTTTAGTAAATGTGCAGAGTTGTGCAGAAGTATCCATACTGTTATATGGTGTTTTTAATTTACTGTTATTTATATATATATTTTATTGTTGACAGTATTACAAATGTTGTTTGTTATATGGTATTTTTAAGTGGAGATGAATGCCATCTTTGCTCTCAGTGATACTTTTGACCACAGGAAGTAATATCTCATTTAGAATCTTCATTTAGATTTTTACTTTTTTTTTTTTTTT